CTGCTAAAATGATGGTTCACTATACTTGATTGCTTCAACATAACAGTCAAGACATATATAATGCACTATATGCCTGGCATTAAAGCCCACTGAACCCAAACTGTTACACTACCAACAAGTCTTTTCTTGTATTAAGTCTTTTCATTTTATAACTGTTCTACGAATGATTTTTTTTCAGTGGAATAATATTTTATCATTTAAGTCTTGTCTACTTGACTACAATGACGAATAAGAGGCAAATTTAAAAGGGATTTCAAAAAGTATCATAATGTATGCATGAAAACATAATAACCTATGACCGTAATTAACCTAATAATTATTAGATATCTGATTTTAAATTTGTTTTCAAAACTATTTATTTTGTTTGTTTGTTTTGTCAATATGTTCACATTTATTGATTTATGCAGCTTTCTACAATCAGCCTAGTGTAATCTCCATGTAAATTATTGAGTTTAGACAAATTTTTGTTAATTTTGCAATTCAGCATTCCACTGACAGTGGAAGACAGGGAACTTTTGTCTCCACGACCACCTTGTTAATAATCAAATCTTCAAAAAATAGCTCGCAGTAAAAATGACGGTTTACAGTTTTCCACTCCAAGACAGTCTTCTAGTCATAACATTTTATCCTGTCAAGTGCATGTTTTTTTTAACTGGAGCTCTGTAATTCCCGAGATTGCACCAGTGTTAAATATTGCTGAAACAGTAACTAACATTAAAATCATATTATAGAAATATAAAAAAAAAGCAATACTCCAAGCATTCTGATTATTGAAAAACAGCAATTTAGAAGACACTTCAACAAAATATATCAAATCAATATTGAGTGCAATTTGTATAGTGAAATCTGGCCACCATCTTTCCTTTTAAACACAGTTCAATGGATTAATGACATACACTAATGCAGAGATTTCATTGGGTAAATATCAAAGCATGATGGTTATTTTTACATAATTAGGAAATACAAGGCAACACATTGGCAATTATTATGTGATAGGAGGGAAGGCCACGGATGTGTACAATAATACAGCCTATTATTTAGGCGAACATCTCCTTTTGAGCCCTGTTGTCGTGCACTAACGGGCAGTGCAAAATCCCTTATTTCAATCATAATACCACAAAAGGATAACAATTGAATATACATGTACGTGCATTTGTAGTTTGAGAATGAAGAAATCCACAATGTGGTAATTTTCTACAGGAGAATACCCAATAATCGGTGTAAAAAAGTGTTTATATTAACAAGTTCTTTAGTTAGAATGACAAATCATAGTCTTTGAAATGCGGCATTTAACCTTTTGAACACCATATTTTTTCCGTTAAAATTTTAGTGTAATATTATAAATACTGTAGAATACTTTATTTTCACTAGGAATTTATTTTCACTGAAGAGATGCTTCAGTGAAAATAAAATCCAGCGAATATACTTTTTTTCTTATATTTCACATTCAACTCATCAAAAATCAGCCTTTCAGCGAAAATTCATTCCAGCTAAAATAAAGTATTCTACAGTAATTATGTTATTTTTATACAATTTTTGTGTTGATTTTGAACCAAACAGACATAATTTCTCATTGTATACAGATCATAATCAAAATCCTTGTTAAAATATAGAAAAAAATTAGAAAAGCTAACTTATTTTGTGAATGGTATATAAACTTAGGTTTTGACGCTCAAAAGGGTCAGGGTAAATAAATTTGAAAATGGTGTCCATGTAGAGAATCTCAACACTGGGTCTTGGATCACTAAACATTGTTTTTTGTTAATCTACTCAGTATTGCAGCCTTTATTGAAGGCTTGTAAAAAGTGTTGACGACGATTCCAACTACAGTAAAAAAGAAAGAATTTGCTTTTTATGCAAAGTAATTAGCCTGGTTTTATAACTAAAATGCAAATTACACATTTAGAATTAACTTTAGGCAAGAAGTTTTAACCTTAAATTTTAGGTGTCGTCTCAAATCAAATGTAGAGAATATGATGGGGTAAAAATGACCCTGCAAATCTTAAAGGGCGGCAGTCGTCGTGCTGCATCCTGCTCGATATGGGACTCATAGGGACGTATACAACGCGTGTAAAATACATTGTTTATTTACATGAAATTCCAACACGCGCTGCGCAACGACCACCGCGCTTTAAGTACATTAAATATGACCAATGTGTGTAACTTTGAAATATTTTTTCTTGCATATTGCATCGTGAGAAAAAAAATGATATTTGTAACAAAGTAAACAAAGTAAAGTCTTATTTCTTTGGCCGAAAACAATATACAGAACTGCAGAGTTGCTGTATAAAAGATATTGCAATAATATTGAGTATGCACGGCCTATTCAAATTAGAGTATAAGCGTTTACATTCGTTTCAATATTTACCATGCAAGATCAAGCAATTATAACACTATAAAACAAGAACCTAGAAGAGATTTAAAATACAAGCTCCCTCAAAAAGGAAGTCATGGAAATGGAAATTTTATTCCTGTAGTAGGCTTACTACGTGCTCACATTACGCGTTTAATTCCAGGAAATTAACTTTTGTCTAAACTGGCCATTCACGCTGTAAGTGTATTGACAACAATGACAGATGAAAAGAAAGCCGACAAATCAAGCCGAGCATAGTGTAAAACGGTCTCTTTCATTTTGGAACAGCACACGATTAGATAGAAGATGAAGCTGCAGGATCTGATATTAAGAATATTCACATACCCAGTGGGTGATTTTGTTAATACCAGTCGCTTGATTATTAATATTCAAACGACCCCAGGTGACCTATCCTAGCCATTGTTATATTAATGACAACTGCAGCATTTAAGCATAGACGTTACTGGAGGGTCTATGAATAATGTGAAGGCACAGCTCTATGTAAAATAGCATAATATCATATTAATATGAATGTGGCAGATTACTGTGTTATGACGAAGCAAGGACCTTGGGAGAATTAAGGTCCTCTCTATAAAGTTAACGAGTTACAGTGAATACGAGAATGACTTAACTGTTTTGACATTTGCATCAAACAAAAACGTACCGGTAATTTATGCACAAAAATGTGCAGAAAGTCAGACAATTCCACTTGAATTTTGGCAGATTATTATCATCCATGTATTCTCATTTCCAGCAAAAAACATGAATTTTAATAGAAAACAATATCAACCTGAAAGTTCACTAAGAATATGACCCTTTACTCCTCCGCCATCTAATCACACAGTAAGCAGTGTGATAAACAAAATATCAAAGATGAAAGCACCACACAGCAAGAATAATGTCACTAATCGTCATCTTTCAGTATCAAAATAACCAAAAAATGAACATTTCATCTTATTTTTCATTACTGTTTAACATGCCACACCACACACACAAAAAGTAGATTATGCTGGCGCTGTCCACAAGCACTTTTAATAGGGAAGAACATGTTGAAAATTGAACAGTAAAGCCACAGCATAAAAGTGGAGATATACAAGGTGACGTCAAGTCTCATTTGTGGCTCCCACTAGACTGGGGTTGCATGGAGAATTTCATGATGCTTGATCTAGCATAGGTTACACAAATCCGTGAGGAATACCTAAACTTGCTAATAATATGGTTACAATACTAAGACCATGCTAGCAATCAGAGAGACAATGGTTCAGTGAGTGGGTCAAAATGTAAAAAACTAAATTACTCATCTAAACTATATTCTACATGGTAGAGAGGAGAGGCGACGTCATCTGGAGAATCGGTCTTTATTACCACTATCTCTCTGAATTACCATTTAGAATCGATGAAGCAGAGAGCATTAACATTATATTGTGTAAGATACTGAGGGTATTCTTTTTTTTTATTTTGTCGGCACTTTGAAGACAATGGATTAAGGTGGTTGCCTAATCTCTGCTTGAATTAATATTTATAGGGATGGCCTTTGGGTAAATGCAACAACTGGCAATTCATGAGACATCTAATCAGACTCTCCATATCAAGGACTTCTTATGACTTATCCTGTTTGATACCGCTAGACAGCCTAATTGTGTGGTACCACTGGAAGCTGTGTTTGGTATGACAGTTTCAACTCTTCATATTTAATTTTCTTATCATAAACACCAAAATAAATTAGTGGTAATTATATTTTAAAACTTATTAGCATAGTATGTGAGAAGTACCATTGTTTCCTAAGAACAGGGGTAAACTGTAATAATCCTACAAAAATATTACCATTCTGCACATCATTACAGCAAGATCAAGATCTGTCCTCATGTCAATGAGGCAGGATTGAACATAAACTCACAAGACTCATGACCAAGCAATAATGCTAATTTGAAAATGAAGCGAGAATAATAAACAATCAAAGCAAACACTCATCAACAGTCATGATGCACCCCCCCCCCTCCCCAACCAGGTAATCATCAGATGATCTACTTTGAATTACAGACATCTTAAAAGTCTGAGATGCATTTCAAGAGCTTTTGAGATCCTTATAACACAGCTGCAGTTGATAGATAGACTTTCTTCATCCCAAACATCAGGACAAAGGGTAAAAAGTAGCATAGGGGGTTCGCGGATTGAAGAAAATGCATCTTAAATCACACACGGACACACAGAGGTCAAATCCATATGTCCCTGTTTTCGGACTGCGTTCAAACGGGGACTAATTAAGCAGTAAGCTATTCAGCCAATTGAATATAATAGACAAGTACGCTGGTTAAGTTTAAAACAACTTGGTTATAAAGTTTTTTTACCTACGGTTAATGTTATTGGTGTTCTACCATATTATGGCAGTCATTGCATTAACACACAGGGTTCCACAACAATGATATCCAAACATTAATGGTGTTATGCAGTGTTACAGCAGTCACTGTATTGATAAACACTGCATTGACATAAAAATGGTATTTCATATATAACTGGTATTATGAAGTATCAGGGCAGTCACTGCATTAATACACCGGTGCTAAGCAGTGTCAAGGCAGTCACTGCGTTAATACACCGACTCCCATGGCAATATTGATGAAAATTGACTTTAAATGATCACACATACCTGCATAATCCTCTGGACATAAACATGAGTAGCCACCTTCAGCTCGGACACACTTTCCATTATTTTGGCAAGGATTGGAGTAGCATTCATTGATTTCAGTGATGCAGAAGTTCCCAGTGAAGCCCAATGGGCAGACGCATCTATACTGGTTGACTGGGTGAACTGGTCTGAAAAGAATGGTCTGGGAACGAACAAATCCGGAGGTTTCACCAAAAGCCAAGATAGAGAGGCACTCTTCGTAGTTGGCACAGGGTTCCACCAAACATAGGTTGTCGTCAAATGGAAGTACAGATGACATGGAAATAGTAGTGAGTGTGGCACGGTTCAAGTAAACCCGTTGTTGCAGATATTTTGAAGAATAGTAGGTACCGTCAGATCTAGACGCTGAGAAAGATATGTTGAGAATATGACCATGATCAACATCATCATCTTGTACGTTGAAGAGGTAGACATGCTTCTTATCACATGGTATAATCTGCGCCAGTGCTTCAACAAATCGTCCGAACATTGGTGAAAGAAATTCTTCCTGGGTGATATCAGCCAGACGAACCGTCACACTGTTGTACAACATGTCCTCTGTTACCATAGTAACATTAAGAATCATCTCAGCATAGACTTCATTGACGCCATCTGTGAAAAAACAATCAAGACCTTTAATATTTAGAGTATCTATTTTGTGTAAGACATATAATTTATTTTATCAGACTAATCTCAATCATGGCATAGCACAATCCCTGGGAGTGAAAGCCTCTGCTTCAATGCTATAATTTTTTCACAAAAATTGTCAACATTTAATGCATTTTTCAGCAATTTCTTTGGCAATTTGGACATACATTTTGTAGTTTCCCATTGGCTATGTATTGATCAACATGTTTGAAATATGAAAAAAAAAAACGCATAGCTTTATCTTGCAAGAGGCAGCAAAAACTGACTTTTTCAAAGGATCGGTTTATTTGTCAACACCTCAGGAAGGGTTATAGGTCGCAGAATAGTTTTATACATCTGAACAATATCATGCATACACGATCTACAATCACTATATGTTTATAGGACAAAATCAATATCACTGGTAATTTTACAGATTCTCCAAATAGGTATATGAAATGTAATCTCTACCAGGAAGACACTAATAAATCAAACTGACAACACAGAGATCCAGTTTCTACCAAGTACTCAATAAATAGTCTAATTTTACTGTAAGAAAACCAACTCTGCACCTGTCCTTTCAAGAAAAAGTTCACAAAAAATTGCATGTTTTTTTTATATTATGTAAAAATACGTTTCTGACAAATCAGATTTACACACACCAATTATGAATGCTTCTCTCAAAATCTATACTAATCAGGCCTTGCTTGGCTTAAAATTGATGTGGGAGCTAAAATGGCTCTGCTGATCACTCTCGCCTTACAAAGTAAAGTCAAACTACCCCAGTAATACCATATTTTGATATGTGAATAATATTTTAAATGACAAATGGATCATTGTGAATTTGTCCACTTAAATTCTCTGCAAACAAATTTGTTTAGCTCACATGATCTCTTATTGGTGATGGACTACCAACAGAGCACCTATGATATGACTGACAAGTTAAAAAAAACAATAACATTTTGATATCTAATTAGTTAACACTCTGATTGATAGCTACAAAATTTGTATTTCATACATTAATGGTAGCAATGTCTATTAATGTGTTATATAAGGACACTAACTTCTACATGTGCAATGATAATAATTATGAGTTTCAAACAAGACAAGACCCCGGTGGATTAATAAAGTTTATCAATTATAATGAAATGCAACCATTTTAAAACGATTAAAATGCTCAAGTATTATTTGTTATAGCACGACTCTTCAAACATCTTGGTTTAACATTATGCAAATTTTTCTTTAATATCCTTTTTTTGACCTAATGACTATAGTTCTTTATCAGCTATATAAGGACACTAACTATTTCTGTGAAACGAACAAAGCTCAGAATTTGTTCATAGTAATTAACTTTTCAAAGCCATGATCAATTTGAATATTCATTAGCTATCTTCGTGTTAACGACTCTCTGAATGTCACTACTAATTGCATAAATTATAAAACCTCCCTTGGAAACTGATTGTCTATCCTGATTCAGGTAATTGGCGCCAATTGCAGTCGTAATCAATTCATAACCCTGAGGCAACGCAGTAGCGAGTGGTGGGATTAGACCTTTCTTTCACAGTTCTTTGATCTTAGTAACATCTTTGGCAGATTTCACAAGAGCTTATTCAGCATGCAATTGAAAAACATAGCCTTTGGCATTCATGAATCGATAGTGATAGAATTTTACACACCGATAGACAATGCCTAGGAATTACATGTACTTGAAGATGAAACACAACAAATACGACTAATCTTGGCGATCAACTATGACTGATATCTCCCATATCTATGATTAAACTCCACCTCTGTCAGGGAAGCAATTTTGAAAATTGCTATTTATTAATTTGACGAGTTGCCAGTCATGGCGGACTGCTGCACATTATGGATTGACTGCGTTTTATTGCTGCCTCAATGCTACGGATGCCAATTTGGATAGCTCGCATATTTTACGAATACACTTATAAGTGGCTTGGTATACGGAAGTCTTAAAGACTTACTATCTGAATTCCATCCAACCACCACATCTCACATGGGAGTGCCAAATAATTTAACTCTATATAATCTTTTAGGGAAAACAAAATGAAACAATTATGTAAGTCCTTTTAAAAATATTGAGATATTAACATTGAAATAATAACAAGAAAATGCACTTATTGCTGTCCTCAAATTTCTCAAAGCATTCAATCCTTTCATATAATGTCAAAAGACGGTTAAGTTTTCTCACCTATTAAAAGTATAGTACAATCTCAAAATAACTACACAAGTATTTTTTTGCAATTTCAGGATTTTATGGCATTTATGAAGACAAAATTTTGTGAAATTCACCCACACTTATTCGTAGAGAAATTGTTAAATTGTTAAATTTAGTGATTTTCAGACTTGCGAAATCCGTAAAAATTTGTCTCAAAAAATTAAAGCGGTTTTCGGTATATACTGTAAATTATTGAATTTTCGGTGCAATTTCTGAATTTTACGGCATTAGTTGATACAAAATATAAGACACTAAAATAATTTTTACTGCATCAAAATTTGGCGATTTTCAAAGACTTTGCAAAATCAAGCAGTTTACAGTATCAGATGAAGTGTAGATAGTAGTATGTTACTGGTTCAGGAAATCTCCTAGGTAAATACGGAACAAATATACTTTGGAAATCAATGGAAAATGGAGTATATTAGTTTCAGAATATCTCTTGTGTCATGAGTTGAGTGAAACCAATATAATTATTATTTTCTCACTGAGGGAACTAGATGTTATATTTACAGTAACCTAATTTCACTCTAAATACATCTATGACCTCATTCAAATATACCAAGTAGCCAGACTGTTTAACCTTTTCAAATAGGGTAATTAGGCTCAGTGGTTGTGATCATACAACACTGCAACAACTGCTACTCCTATCATAGGAATGTCAATTACCCACAATTCAACAGTTTGTAAAGAAATTACTTTTGCTAAAACTTTTTTTTGGCTTAATAATCCACATAAGTAATCAGTTGTATTTATTTTTTAAAAGTATGTATGTTTTACATTATGGAATCATACAATCAATTTAGGCTTAGAGTAGAGTAGAAGAGAATTTATGCATCACCACCATCACCTGACAAAGAATGCAAATATCTTTGAATCATCCGCTGAAAGATAAGACCAAGGCGAATCCAGCTGTTAAGTTGGGCATATGTTTACAACAAGCGACCTGGTGGTTGAAATAGCTCCACTGTCCCACAATAACATTGTCATAGCCAAGTCAGCAACAAATTGTTCACTTAACTAATATAACAGGTACACCTCAAATATCAAAGCAACCAGATTGGTGGTGTTCAAGAAAAATGCAAAAATACAATTTTTTTACCAGAAATGACAATAATATTTGCTGAACATAGAGAATTGAAAATATCGCCATGAAATGAACAAATCTAACGGAGGTCCGCCCAAAGTACCCACATACCAAGTGTAGAAGAGTCGAAAAGGGAATTGTTGACGGTCGACAATAGACAATCACCTATATGAACAGCTCCACTCTGTCATCTACAGTGAACAGTGGAGCTAAAAATTACTACTACTCAACAAAATATGCAACTATCCTGCTATGTGAGGAAAATTAAATTAAATTTAATGAAAAGCATATTATCAGAATGCATAAAGCATAAATCCACAGACTGTTGAACACTAGTGAAATTTCTAAAGTTAAAGTAATCACAAGCTAGCGTGCACATACATACACTAATTGACCATTTTGTTGTGCAATACAGGAAGGATGCTTGTATGTAAGCCAGCCATTTAGACTGGCATACTGTAAATAATGAAAACTACTATCCACAATATTTACACACATTAAAATGCCACTATTGTATTGAGTAATGCATGCTGCAATTTGTCAGCAGTAGAAAAATATACCAACAAATATTTGGGAGAAACAAGTTAGCTAATCAACAACCATATTGGCTTTGAGTTCATTAGAAGCACGAGAATCTTCAACAGAAGCAGACATTAAACTGAAACTTGCACGCTCAAAGCGGGAAGGTTGTCACCTGCGCACGCACGGGAATTGAGTCCCAAGCGATAATAAGAACAAACGCTAAAAACGCAAAAGCTCATGGGTAGCAGGTTGTTTGTAAACAATGACACGCTATGGCCATCTGACGCATGGGCAGGTGACGACTCCCCCGCTTTAATCATTGAAATACTTATTTTGACCACAAACATATCTCTGTCATCTATGTAAAATGATTCACGGGGTGAAGAAGCAAATACAGTAACAATTTGACTAATTTATAATAAGATGAAAAGAAAGATGCTTGGAGTATGAAACAACCTGCATTGGATATAAACTAAGACTCCCAATCTATAACATATCTCATTAGCAGTCGTCTAAAAATAGAAAACAAGATCAGTACACTGCTGACCCCCATCTGTGGATTTCTCACTTATTACCAATTACTGGGGGACACTGGATATCGAACAACTATATGATAAAATATTTACAATGGAGAGTATTTAATGGTAATTTCTGAGAGCATGCCATGACATTTCGGCTAATTTTAAAATTACTGGAGAGTATTAAATGAGAATAAATCTGCCATTGGCATGTATTGGAATTTGGATTTGGAGGTCTGAGGAGGGGAGGTGTTGATCCTCCTAGGACTTGTACAGTTCAAGAAATCACCCACTGAGATACATCTATTGGTTAGACCCTTAACAGAATTAATTGATGCATCTGGGAAGCAAGACAGTCCAATTATTTTGGGATAAAACCTAGATGTATCAAAGGGTAGTATTTCATCTCTGATTTGTAGATGTGATGGATGTCACAGAATATGTCGAGATCTACATAGATACAGCAAATATTTTTTTAGCAAATGAACATTCAAGAATTCAGAGATAAAATTAATTGACAAGTAAATCCTGACTAAAACTAAAACCTGTATAAACGAGACCCCTGACAGGACAAGCTTCTTTTTCTGCTCAGTTTTCTGTAGATGGTTTTTGGACTCTTTGGTTG